AGTTAAAGTTAAATTAGTTTAGTCAAATAATGCATATTTAGAAAAAAAGTGTAGATTTTATCTTACTGGAAAAATCAAAAAATTAACTTATTTTAATAAATATGAGCCAAGTGGCTCTTTTACAAAAGTTACAAAAGAAATTGCAAAAATAATAACATTTTTAAATAAAAGTTTGGTTTTAAATGACTTTAATGGGATTTTAGATGAATCAGAAAATGATTAAGATAAATAATCTGATTTAAATAAAAGAATTGAATAATTGAAAAAGAAACTTAAAGAATAGCAACAATTATTAACAGTAATTGAATATAACAAAAAAAGAGCTATTTTTGAATATTTGAATAGATTGAACAATAATGAAAAGGGAAAACAAAAAGCCAGTATAGAGGTCATACAGGTGGTTTATATTGAAATGCACTATATAGAGCAAGAATTATTTGATATTAGATAAATTAATGGCTTTAACATAATCAGCTTCCAATAAGCCACTAAAGTAAATATTAAAAAAATAGTATAGTTGATTGATGATAAAAATATAGTGGAAAAATGCAATATATGGATTTGATCTTAGGGTAGAATAATCACTTCGCTAAAGTTCAAGGAGTTTGTTAAATAAAATTTGCTTATTAATTCAAGAATAATGAGAAAAAACTATAGGTATAGTAACTGCTACACACTGGCTTAATGTATTCGAATATTTTTTCAGACACAAAAATAAGGTAAAGATAAATTAATAATATAAAATTTGTTAAACTAATTATTAACTTATATTTATTTTAAAATATATATATATTATGATAATCACGAACATTTTGATATTATAAAATATTAGCAAAGTTTCTTAGATGAGATTTATGGTTATGAAAAAAACATAGTGAAATATGAAGGTAAAAATATAAAATGGATCCTACCAATATTAAGATCTGGTGAAAAGAAAATAATTTTAGTAACACATGATGAGTACATATTCTATTCTAATAATAAAAAATAAAATATATAGGTAAAATCTGATAAATTACTATTATGTAAGAAGGGAAATGGATACTTTATTATAGTTAATGAATTCCTTATAGAAGAATGTGATCGATCTAAATTAAATTTATAGTAATGCTAAAAAAATTCTTTCATAAAGAAGCTTAGATGTATTTTCAACCAGAAAAAAATTGGGATAGATACTAGATAAGTGAGTATTTAGTTGAACAGTAAAAATGAAGGCTATACTGATTTTTGAAATAATTTTTCAAACTATATTATCTTATTTGTATTTGATAACAGTTCAAATCACGTGGCATATAGGTTTAATGCACTTATGATAAGTAGAATGAACCTAAAACCTGAAGGCAAATAACCAAAAATGAGAGACATATTTTTTGAATAAAATAATCAGTATCAATCAATAGTTAATAAAAATAATGAATCAAAAAAAATGAAACAGGTGTTAATCGAGCGTGAATTGTGAAAAGATAGGTTAAATGCTAATTATCAGTCATATAAGAATAAGATAGATGATATAAATTGGACAGACTGTTGTGTAAGAAGAATTATTTCATTACAACAGAATTCTTTGTCCCAAAAAGGTGCCTTAGAAGAAGTAATATTAAAAGCTGAGCATATGTATATTTTTTACCTAAAGTTTCATTATGAATTGAATTATATTGAACGATATTAGAAGTAGCAAAAAAATATACTTGAGAGAACTGTGACTATTCTTGGCAAGGCTTGCAGCAAGTTGTTCCTGCAACTTTATAATCTATTAATAAAATTATAATTAAAAGATTTGTTAGGAAGGCTTGACACTATATGGATTTGTATAGGAAAGGAATCACTGATAAGTTAGTAGAATATGCTGCTAAAATGTATATTCCTAAATATGTATTGATAGAATTAAATAAAATAAAATAAAAAATTATCTATATGCTATGTAATTTTGTGACGTGAAAAATGCAAAATCACGTGAATAATATTAAATCATATAATTTCATATAAATATTACATAAATAATATGAAAGTCACATGAAATCATCATTCAAAATTTTGAACTAGTGCAATTTATAGGTGATAGCTATTACACTGCTATTATTATTAATAATAATATTATTAATATTTGTATTTTCTTTACTTTCATTATTTTTGTCAACTTTACTTTATATTTTTTTTCTTTATTAACCTATTTCTAAATTATTTCTATTATTTTTCTTTAAAATTTGTTTTTATTTTTTAATAATAGAGATAACAACTTTTTCTTTTCAAATAAATTTATAAATTTTATTAGAGATTTAAAAGGAGAAGTATTAAAAGAAATTAAATCAATTTTTAATATAAAAGTAGGATTTTCTTGAAAAAATATTATACTTTATGTACCTTTTGAATGATAGTATTTTTCTTTATATATGCATGATATTCAGATCATATAGATATCTATGCAATTACTTTTATCAATTAAGTAACTTTTGCTAAATAAGATTTTAGGATTCAATATAATTTTTTTATCAAATAATTATAAAGTTTTTTTATAAAGTCTCAATTTCTTTTAGATATTTCTTTTTATCAACTATTCTATTAGATCTGTATTTTTTTTTAAATTCTATTTTGTTATTTATTTTATTGATTTTTTTGATTTATATTATAAAGCTAATTGTAATTTTTATAATGAGAAAAATATCAAGAATAATTAATAAGTTACAGATAAATTTAATAGTAAAGATAAATATTTTTGTTAAATATTTTTTAAGAAAAAGCTATTTATATAATGATAAATAAAATTATTTGAATAAAATTATTGAAAAAATTTTATTTAATTTTAAGTTTTATATTTTAAGATTGTAAAATCAATAAGAGTTATAATGATGATTTTTAATATTATTTATTAAGAATTTTTATTTGAATTTTTATCTGCTTATTTATAATTTTTTTTTTTATTCTTGAAATTAAAGAAAAATGTTAAAATAAAAATATTTTCTTAAAATATGATCAGCATATTTTAGTTTAAAAAATAAAATGTATAAAATTTGACATATAACTTTATTTTTAAAAATCAATAATTTATTTTATTTGAATTCTGAAATCTTTGACAATACAAATGTTTACTTTGTCTAGTTTTATTGTAGCATAGCCTATTTTATTTATTATTTATAAAAATAAAAGATAATATCAAATTTGAAAATTTTATGTAATCTAAATAGAAGATATGACTATATAAGAAAATTGAGATGATAAATATTACATGATACAATTAAAGTAGTTTTTCAAATTTTATATTTAGGTGATCAACAATAATGATAACTTATTTTTTCTTTCGTTCTTCAGCAATATGAAAAAAATCAATAAAATCTTCAGATACTTCATTTTAAATAGAAAATGAATATGAAGTCAAAAAAATATTAGATCAAAAGATTATAAATGAAAATATTTGCTTTGAAATAAAATGGAAAGTTATAGTCTTAAATATAACACTTAAAAACTATATCATAATTTTATTGTTTTAAATTATTAGACAATTTTATATATAATATCATCTTAAAAATAAAAATAAAAAAACGTTAGAAAAAATCATAATTTTTAATGTAATTTAAATACATTTACCATTACTAAAAATGGAACTACTTTTATACAAGTAAACAAAAAAAAAGGTAAAAAAATTACCACTACTAGTATTTAAGAAATATAAATACAAAAAAATAACTTAGTAAAAAATTTTAATAAAAGTAATAATGGTAATTAGGTAAAAAACTATTGATATATTAATTGAAAAATTTAGTCAGCAATTACAATTTACACAATTAACTTCTAATAAAAGATCTTGATCTGTGATACCATTTTAATCATCTAAAGTTTTTGATTTTGAAAGGTTTCTTAAGTACGCTATTAAAAATGAACCTTCAATTTTTGTGATTAATGATATTAATAACGTTAAAATATCACCAAATTTTACATATATTGAAAATTACATTTATAGTAAAAGTATTTTATGTTAAGCTAATCTTATTGAATAATTAGTAGAATATTAATATAGAATGAAATATTATATAACTAAATTGTATTCATGTTTTATAGAATATATAGAAAAGAGATTAAATTATAATTAAATAACATTTTCAAGTAGCGTTAAAATCTAAAAATATCATTTATAAATGTAATTTTAAATGTATCTGTCTTTCTAATTATATTAATCAAGTTTCTCAAAGAAAATCAAATTTGAATCTGATAATTAAAAGAATTCCTAAAAAAAGTTAGGGTATTGTTATAAAGAGAAAAATTCCTAAATGTATGTTTGTAATATATTATTATAAAGAAGTAATAAAATCAACTGAAGCTAAAAAACGTAGATCTCAATATGATATAAAAGGATTAACTTATCTTCTTGATCTGAATTATAATACTGAAAATCATAATAAATGTGCTTATATTGTAGATACTATAAACTTTGAAAATTTTTCAATTCTAATTTAGTGGTTTATTTTTTTATCAATAATAATGCTAAATTAAGTTATATCATATTGCTTTCTTTACTATTAAAAAAATTCAAATTGATGATGAATTAACTTTTAATTATTTTGGAATTTTCATCATAAAGTAGGTGGATTAAATAAATTAAAAAAAATATATTTGTAAATGTGATGCTACAAATTGTATTAGATATTTTTATAAATAATTAATTATAAATATAGATTTATGATTTATAAAAATTTAATCACTAATAACAAAATAATAAAAAATAATATATATTAATCTTATTTGAATAAAAAGAATATTAATTTGCAAATAATTTTTATATTAATTATATTATGTAAAAAAAAAAAAAAAAATTTGAAATATGTATTTAAAAAACAATTTAAGCAAAAAAAAAAAAAACTTTATTGAGATTATTTACAAGAATATATCAAGTAAATAACAAATAAAAGAAATGTTAAATAGTTGCTTTAAACTTTTTTTTTCTTGAATGTTTATTTGTTATATCAACATTCTGAAAATTATCCAAGGATTTTTCCTTTTGTTGTTGATTATTTAACATCTTCATTTGTTTTTGTTTTAATTTCTTTTCAAGTCTTTGGTTTTTAGCTTGTTCTTTATTTACTGGTGCAGTTGTTATAAGTTGCTTAATCTGTGTAGGAATATAATCAAAACCAATTGATTGTGTTGAAGTAGATTCAATTTTAACTTTTGGTTGTTGTTTAAAAAAGAAAATGGATGGTGATTTTGTTGTATGTATAGAAGTAGCAATTTCAACCTCCACTTTTTGTTTAATCATATTACTGGATAGTGATGAAGAAGTTGTTTCTTTTTCCAATTCCTCATCATCTTCAGTAATTTTTCGTTTCTTTAACAAATTTTCTGATGGTTTAAGTGGATTTAACCAAGATACATCTATGGGTTTAACTTTATCCCTAACCATTTTATAAATTCTTATGAATTCTAATGAATTTGCCTGTAATCAATTACAAAGATTAAAAAACTTTAAGCACAAAGAAACTCATCATGAATCAAATTTTTTACATGTAAATACCTTTACACCAATGCATGAAACTCTCTTAAAATTCACTGCTTCAGAAATTCTTTTTGAAGCTCCTAATGGTAATGGAACAAGTAAAACACCACCAGCTATACAACAAATTGTTGGAAAATGAGAATAAAATTGTGGAGGAAGATCTGCCTTACATATAAAAATCATTTCTAATGAAGGATGGTATTGTTCTTGTGTTTGAAAAAGTGGTTTGACGTTGATCATCAGGATTAGTAGATACCAAATTATCATTAGATAAATGATTTTTATGGTTAAATCTTGAACGAATTTGTGGATTTGTCATTCGTTCGAGATGTTTTGTTACTTCGTTAAGACCAAAATATATATTAGAAAGAATTGGTGGCGGTATTAGTGATCGCTTTTTAATTATTGATGCATCAACGTTAGTATCATCAAGTTCAACCTCGACCACATTATTAAGGTTATTATTAGATTTTCTTTTTTGACTCTTTACAGCCCTGTTATATTCTCCTATCACTGATAAAGTTCTATAAAATTGAAATTTATTAATAACGTTAATGGCACTTTTGAATTTATATAAATTTTTAATTTAGGAAAATGATTTCTCATAAACTCACTCGCAAAGGGCATCCAAGATTTCATTTTGATCTTTAATTGAAACATCGGGCCTAAAAGGAAATGATTCGTATTATTAATATGGTATTTAGTCTATTATTATATTATCATTTCCTATTTCTGTTAAATACTTGCCAGCTTATATTAAACGGAGAATCGAGAACAGATTTGAAAACAATCTTTTGTTTCATTTCTTGCGTCCTAATCGTTTTACCAGTATGCGTATTCACTCTCGGTGAAACAGGTTTTGTTACAGTACTAGCACCTTGACTTTGAACACTTCCACTTTTGTGATCATTATTTATCCTTTCTCTCCCTTTTATCCCTTGTGAGTACTTAATTGTAGATAGAGGTGGTTGTTTTTGAGACATCTTTTCTTTTACTTAATAATTTCCTGATAATCTATATATTAATCAAGGCTCATTGATTGGTCAGAAAGAGGGGAAATTTTTCGTTTTTTTGTTAGGAGTGGTAGACGTGTCACGTGCCATAAAGGAATTTTATTTTATTATTTTGAAATAATGCTCGAAACTAACCAAAATAAATAAATAAATAATAAAATAAATTAATAAAACAAAAAGTGAAGTTTGAAAAAAGAAAAATTGACTACTTACGATTATTATACAAAATATAATATAAATAAAATAAATGACTTGTACAAGAAGAATATCTTTTTTAATTTAAACATTTAAAAATAATGATTATGATTTTTATTATTATTATATAATTTAATTTAAGGGAAAATGAAATAATTGAATGTCAAAGAAAATCGTTTTTTTTTTTTCGTATTCTGTTATTACAAACTTAAATAGGAAAATTTTAGAAGTCGACTTTCTATTGCATATAAAGAACAAACGTATAACTTCAACATTCAAATTTGATTAAAAAGACTTTTAAGTTAAGATCCAAAAAATATGCATTCCATTGTCAAATGTAACCAAACAAAGGCGTCTTAACTCTCATGCATTAAATCTGTAAATTTTCCGAATGTTCACCTTCTTTCCTTCCTTTCGAAAAAATACTATCTAACACTAAAGAAATTTTTTTTTTCAATCGATCATGTATAATTTTCAATCAAAAAAAAAAAAAGCCGGGAATATTTTGGTTTAAATAGCGATTAAAAAAATATTTGTGGCATCTGTATTACCCACTTTTATTCTGCGGACATAACGGAATTACCCATGTGATTTCCTAATCGGAATTTTTTTTTTATATATAAACTACGTTAATGTATAAGTATATAAGTATACCAGGATTGTCAGTCTATTTTTCCATTTGACAAATTCTTTATTCCCTAACTTTGAATAAATAAGACATTATTCTTGTCTTTCATTTAAAGTCCTTTTTTTTTTATTAATAAAAAAAAAAAATTTTCTTATATTTCACTCAACTCGTATTTTTTTTTAAAAAAAAAAAAAATTTCACATTTTTTTTCTAATTTACTTCAAAGTGTTATTTTTTTTTCTTGTGGTGTTTTAAAAGTCAATAATAACTAAAATTTTTTTTTTTTTTTTTTTTTTTTTTTTTTTTTTTTTTTACGTTTTAATTTTGTCTTTTTTCAAAAACTATAAAAACATTTTCATTATGTCTTTTTACAACCAACCACAAATGAACATCAACGCCGCCGCCTCCTCTTCAATGGACTGGCGTATGGCGTTGCCGGATGACGAACGTAAAAAAATTGTTAGTCGGTTCTTTAAGCTTTTTGAATTTGTTAACTCAGGTGGTAATCAAGATCAAAGATTCCTTCTTGCAAAGAAGTGGGAGGAAGATGCGTTTAATAATGCCCTTTCCAAAGAAGATTACCATCGATTGATAACTACAAAATTTTCGACTATGCAAGCCACTATAAAACGAAAGCAACAGCAACAGCAACTGCAACAACAGAATCAACAGGCCGCTGCTGCCCAACAAGTTGCTCAACAAGAAGCTGTTAAACAGCAACAAAATTTATTACCACAGTCTTTACTTGCTATCCCACAACAACAACAGCAGCAGCAGCAGCAACAACAACAGCAACAGCAACAACAACAACAACAACAGCAACAACAACAACAATTGAGACGACAAATTATGATGCAACAACAACAACAACAACAGCATCAGCAGCAACAGCAAAATGCAATACTATCAATGTTTCAACAACAGCAGAAGATGTCAACCCCTCAACAACAACAACAATTATTTCAAATGCTGCAACAAAATCCCGCGCTTCATCAAAAGGTAATCCAAGATCAATACAAAATGCAAGTCATGCAACAAGCTCAAAGACAAGTAACGCAACAGCAGTCAGGACAACAAGCAACACAAATGACCCAACAACTAAATCCACAAATGTTACAAGCAAATTTCTCACGTCCAACTGGCCCCCAAGTATCATCATCCCCAAGACCACAGCAAAATCAATTTCGTTTCAATTTAAACCCAATGCAGCAACATGTAATGAACCTTTTACAAATCAGTCCTGAAACTCCATTGACCGAAGAACTTTTAATAAAGGTCAATTCCTTTGTAAGTCAGATGAGCAAACGTCAACAGCAAGCACAAGCACAAGCACAAGCTCAGGCTCAAGCAGTTCAGGCGCAAATTAACCACCATCAACAGCAGCAGCAGCAGCAGCAACAACAGCAACAGCAGCAACAACAACAACAACAACAACAACAACAACAACAACAACAACAACAACAACAGCAAACACCCATTATGAATCCACCAAAAACACCACAACAATCTGCGGCCCAAGATGCTTTCGATCTATTAAAAATGAGTCAACCTTTTAATATTGTAAATGCCGCCAACAATGCTAATGCAGCAAACGCCATTGTTAATAATGGGATTCCTATGAAGATTTCTCCAAGAATGTCAAGAATGCCAACGCCAAATATGTCCAATACTGCTGTAATTAATCACTTGAATGTTGGTTCTGCGAACACCGTCACGTCTCCCGTAACTATGACAACTAAAACGAACATACCTCAATCCAAAGGACCTTCAAGGAATCAAACACCTAAAATGATGGCAGCGCAACTTAATAATAAGATGATGGTTCAAGGAAATGCTAACGTTGTTGGGAACAAAATCCTTTCAGTAAGCCCAGTATTACAACAAAATCCAAATATTCCCCCTGCTCAAGGAGTTTCAACACAAGCTCAAGCTACATCAAATGCTAATATGACCGTTAATTCTCCAGTAATTCCACAAAATACTGGAATGATGACACAGGCAAATTCTGGTATCTTACCACAAGGTAGTTCCGGAATTAATAATCTTCAACGTCCTATGATGCAAAATTTATTGTATCAAAACAAATTGATGATGTCTAACAATAACACAGCAAATCCTCTGCTTGCTGTGAATGCTGCTGCTATGATGCAACAGAATAATAATGTAGCGGCACTTTCCTCTCAGAATCCGGGAGTCAGTCCAATGTTAGCAAATCAGTTAAACACAATGCTTGCTAATCCGATAATTTCAGTTGCTAGACCCCCTCAAATGATGGGCCCTCAAACACAAATGGTTAATTTGAATAATGCTCGTCCTCAAGGACAAGTACAGGTCGGTATGATGCAGGCGCAAAATAGTAATGTAGGATCATCTTCATCTACATCTGTAACGCAAGCGGGATTAGCAGTTTTAAATGAGAAAGAAGCTCAGGAAGCAAATAATCAGATTTCAACTCTCGACGCTCGTGCTAAGGAACGAAGGATCCAATATCACGAAATACATGATTTGACTGACGATGAAAAGGCCAAGATAATGGATAAATTAAAAGAATTAGATCCTATGTATCATGAAGTAGACAATGTATTACCATACTTTTGGCATTACACTAGATCGAGTCAAGGCACTTATCGCCTTTTAGGAATGAAATACATGATTGAGGACCAAATAAAAGCTCTCCCTGATAAATTTTTGTTGAGACTTGAACTTGTCGATAGTTTATTACAACAGTTCCGCAAGTATTTTGTATTCGTGGACAGTAAAAGAAGGGGTATCGAAGATACCACGTTATTTAATGTTAATCCAACTTTACAACAACAACAACGTCCACAGCCTCAAGTAGTTGAGAGCATTCTTCAACCTCGAATCAACCCATCTGACTTGAAACTACCAATTCAGAAACATTCTCGTGATAATGCAGTACCTGGAAACTCAACAACTGGCAAGAAGCGTCGGCAGTCGTCAGCAGATAGAGAACAACCGAGTAAAAAGGTTGCACCAAGCAAATCAAATGTAACGGGAACACAATCAGTAGATGTGGTGATCATTGACCCTCCAGCTTCATCTGTTGGAGCGAACACTACCGTTCTTACATCGGCTAGTAGTAATTCTATCATCGTTATCCCAGATGATGTGAAATCTGAAAAACAACCACCACCGCAGCAAAACATGCTTGTTGAGAGCAACCAAGAAGTGGTTGCAAATAATAACACGATTTCATTACCAACACCACTAAAAGAAGAAGTACCCGAACAAAAAGATTATATTGATCCAAAAGTCTCACCTGATGGATGCCGTGAACAAGCGCGGATACTTGCATCTAAGGCGAAAGAAGGAATGAAATCTCTCCAAAATCAACACCCACCAGTAAGGGCCGGACGGCATGCTATCGCAGGGATTAAGCCCCCCCAAGACGGTGTTGATTACTATTTTGGTGCTTTTTTTACTTTATTGAACAGCGTCTAAATGAGCAATTTAGGCGGTGTAATAAAATAAATAAATAAATAATATATATATTATAGATTTATGAATACATCTTTATTCAAATAAACCCTCGAGAAAGAAAAAGAAATTCTTTCTGCAAGATAAAAAATTGATAAGCATCCGAACAAGCAGAAAAACAAAAGAAACGAGTTACAAATATAAAAAGAGCCGATAATAATTAATAATAATCGGCAAAGTGGGAGGTAATTGGTAAATTTTTTTTTTGCATAATATAAATCCCTAATTTTATACATATAGTGTAAATAGTTAAAAACACACATATATATTTATCTCGCGCAGTAATTATTATTATTATTTTTTTTTTGTACGTTATAGATTTTTTTTTTTTTTTGCATCATATATAATAAAGATTTTATTAATTGGTAAAATAATTGTATTCCTTATTGAATTATTTAACCTAGCCAATGTTGCAGTTATCCAAAATAAATAAATAAATATTATAAATGTCAACAAAATAATTTTAATTAAATTTACAAGCTTTTAATTTTAAATATCAAAAAAAAAAAAAATAAAATAAATTCAAAATTAAAATAATCATTTAATCAATTTTAAAAATGAAAAATTTGATTTAGTAACAAATTTTATCTCAAAAAAAAAAAACTATTTCTCCTATTTCCTTATTTTTTTTTTTTTTTTTTTAAAAAAAAAAATTCAAAAATCAAAAAAAAAAAAAAAATACAAATAAATTTATTTTTTTTTTTTTTTCTTTTTCTCGCAATAAGGTTCAAAAATTAAGCTATATATAATACTTGCATATATGTATAAAAACCCCAAAAGCGAAAATCAAAAAAAAAGAAATTTTCCAGTAATTATAGCTATATAAACAAATTAATTAACTGTTTTTTTTTTTTTTTTTTTTTTTTTTTTTTTGTTTCCTTCCTTAATAAAGAAAATTATTATAAAGTGTGAAGATATAAAGTAATTGTTTTTTTTCTTTTTCTTTTTTTATGATGTCTAATATAATGACATTATACATACATCGGTTTAAATGGAATTACTTTTATGATAATATCTCTATATGATCGAAAATCATAAAAAAATTCCATTAAACCAAAAATATATCTCAAAAAATCATACATTTCATTCGTGCAAATAAACCTTCTATAATGTTTTAATATTAGAATTATTACCAAATACAATCATTCTAATTCCTTTCAAAATTTCGTAATTCCACTTCTCATGGGGAGTAGGAAGGTGAAGTCGGACTAAAAAACGGAAAGTAAAAATTGTTACTGCTTTTGTCGATAGAGAAAAACACCATAGATAAAATGAAATAATAAAAATAATCCAAGCTCACCTATATCGAGGAGATGCAGGAGAATTGCTACTAATCGTTGATTGGCTTATTAAAGAATTTGGACTATAAGTTGGTGCAGTTCCGGCACCTAAAGGAGAATACCCTGACGGCGCATAACTTCCTGACGCACTTGGTGATGAGGGTGTGTAAACAGGTGATGTTGGACTAAAATAATAAAGTTAAAAATTTAATTAGTAAGATTATGCTTAATAGAATTAATTTTGTTTCAAAAAGAATGTTATTTTTACTCACGAATACGATGGAGAAGTAGGTGAATAATGAGGCGAAGTTGGTGAATAACTTGGAGAAGTTGGTGAGTATATTGGTGACGTTGGAGAATAATGCTGGGATTGTGCTTGATTAGGAGAATATCTAGGAGATGTCGGTGTATAATTAGGCGATGTTGGAGAATAACTTGGTGATGTGGGCGAATAGTTTGGAGAGGTAGGTGAATATTTTGGTGATGTTGGAGTGTAATTTGGCGATGTAGGAGTGTAACTTGGGGACGTTGGTGAGTAGCTTGGTGAACTAGGAGAATATGATGGACTCGTTGGTGAATAGGTAGGACTTGTTGCTTGCTGTCTATAAGTTGATTGTGTTGAATTCATCGAATTCGAAACACTCATTGTAGCACCACCATAATTTCCTGTAGGACTAGAAGGAGAATAGGAAGGACTAGTTGGACTATAAGCAGGGCTTTGAGGTGTAAAAGAACTTCCACCCGGAGAATGAGCAAAAGCCGTCGGAGCAGGTGAGCTTGGAGAATATTGTGGTGACGTTGGTCCATAGCTTGGACTTCCTGTATTATATGGACTTGTTTGCCAACTATAATTGCCACCAACTGATACTGGTTTACCACCTGCTTCAAGAACGGGTGAGAATGCGGGTGAAAAAGCTGGCGAAAAAGCTGGCGAACTAGGTCCAGGTGAATCATAAGTTGATAAAGGTGTTTTGGCACCATACATGGGTGTCATCGCGAAATGAGGTGTACGAGCATTAGCGCCAAACGGTGTCATGGAACCTAAAGCTGGTGTCATGCTACCAGGACGACGATAATCGCCAACACCGTAACCTTCTTTAGCCTTTGCACTTGCACTATCTCCAGCAGGTGCTGTGGTTCTCAACAATATTGGGTCAAGGAATACATCAAAATCACCTGTACCTAACGGTGCAACTTGACCCAGCATAATATTTTCTGCTACACCTCTACAATCATCCACTTCTCCGACAGCAGCAGCTTCCATCAAGATTTCGACTGTCTCTTCAAAAGAACATCTCATTAAAGCGCCAGTTTCTGCACGGTTAATGCCATGTCTAGTAATAGCCATTAAATGACCTCTCGAAGTCATCACATCACACAAAAGAGCCAGGTGACGATAATTGACATAAGAACCATCAAATTCTATTACACCACGAAGTTCTTTTAATAATGCTGCACGTGTTGCCTCAATTCCCAAAACTTGCATAATCTCCACACAATTGTTAGAGTATGTACGTGTATAGTCTACATTTTCAGCGTTCAAAACTTCTTGCAAGTTTGTACCATCAGTCTCAAGTATCCATTCCTTG